TCAGGGGCGGCGCTCGCTCTTGGAAAGCCACGTCAGTGGAAACTCTTCGGTGATTAGGGGCATCTCGGGCATTTGATCCATCCTCTGCCGAGGCCCTGCAGAGCAGCACCCCCAGAATAACTGGAGTTGCTCAGAAATAGCAGGGTCCATCAAAGGATGCGCGGGGATGTGAGGAAGACAAATGGCTGCGGCGGAGGGGGGGCCGGTGGCGAGGGGGGCCGGGCAGGGCCTGGGGGGGGGCTGTGTGTGGATGCTGGCAAGAAGAAAGGGTGTAAATTTATGTTGGAAAATCCTCGCAGAGGGATTTTGGTGAAGCGTGTACGCACAGGCATCCTGCCTTCGTGCTGGGACAGATGCGAGGTCTCAGTCATCAGCGCGGAGCCGTGGCTCCTCCACTTCTCCACCTCTGCAGAAAAACCTCTTATCTCCAGTTCCAGCTCAGGGGCTGGTGCAGATTTCCGCTGGCTTTCAAGCAAAAACAGCTTTGTCCTGGCCCAGCGGCTGCGGCTCTTGCTCCGCTGGGCTCTTTGCTTTGCCTCAAGTCCCAGAGCTGCTCTGGGTTGGAGCTCGGAGGCTGCGTTGTCTCCAGCCAAGAGGCAAACCTTGCTCTGGAGGGGTCCAGGTACGATCCCGCCTTCCCCACTCATCCTTTTGCTTGGGGCTCAATCCTGCCAGGTGCTGGGTCCCCAAGCAGGGGCGGGGAGCTGTGCTCCTTGTCAGCGGTGGAGGGAGAGCTGCTGCGGACGGGGATGCTGCTGGGGGAAGAGAGGGACTGGCCGGTGGCAGAGAAAACCAGAGGGGTTTTGCAAATAAAAAAGAGTGGGGAGAAGCTGTGGGGAACGTAGTGGGGCAGGGATGGGGGAGAGCCAGCACCGTCCCCGCTGCTCTCGCTGCCCTTTCGTCTGTGCTTGCCTCCTCTGCTCTCTTGCGAAGCTGCTCCTGCTCGTTCCTCTCCTAAAAAGGAATGCTAAATGCCACCCAAAGGACAGCTAAGACCTCCTAAAGCTCCTGTCAAAACAGCAGCGCGGCCACATAAAAGCCGACCCAGCAGAAGGAACCAACGTGTGTCTCTTCCCTCTGGCTTGGCCACTCCGTTTGCACTTCTCTGCCCTC